GAGCTCAGCCAGCTCCAGTCACTGCAGACACTATACCTTGCCCAAAATCAGCTAAGTGGTGAAATACCCGAGGACCTCAGCCAGCTGCAGTCACTGCGGACACTATACCTTTCCCAAAACCGGCTGAGTGGAGAAATACCCAAGCAGCTGAGCCAGCTCCAGTCACTGCAATTTCTAGACCTTTCCGAAAACCAACTGAGCGGCGAAATTCCCAAGGAGCTCAGCCAGCTCCAGTCTCTGGAATATCTACACCTTCCTGACAACCAGCTGAGTGGGGAAATTCCCAAGGAGCTCAGCCAGCTCCAGTCACTGCGAAAGCTAGGCCTTTCCCGAAACCAGCTGAGTGGGGAAATTCCCAAGGAACTCAGCCAGCTCCAGTCACTAGAAAAGCTATTCCTCTCCCAAAACCAGCTGAGTGGCCAAATCCCCAAGGAGCTCAGCCAGCTCCAGCAACTGCAAGATCTAGACCTTTCCCAAAACCAGCTGAGTGGCGAAATTCCCAGGGAGCTCAGCCAGTTCCAGTCGCTGTGGGTGCTGCACCTTGCCCAAAACCAGCTGAGTGCCCAAATCCCCAAGGAGCTCGGTCAGCTAGAGCCACTGCGATATCTAGACCTTTCCCAAAACCAGCTGCGTGGTGAAGTACCCGAGGAGCTCAGCCAGCTCCGGTCGCTGCGGGTGCTGCACCTTGCCCAAAACCAGCTAAGTGGGGCAATTCCCAAGGAGCTCAGCCAGCTCCAGTCGCTGGAACATCTAAACCTTCACCAAAACCAACTGAGCGGCGAAATTCCCAAGGAACTCAGCCTGCTGCAGTCTCTGGAGCATCTACACATTCATGACAACCAGGTGACTGGTGAAATCCCCAAGGAGCTCAGCCAGCTCCAGTCACTGCAGGTTTTAAACCTTGCGCAAAACCAGCTCAGCGGCCGAATTCCTAAGGAGCTTGGCCAGATGAAGTGGTTGAGGTTGCTCTCCCTTGCCCAAAACCAACTCGACGGCGATTTGAGGGAGATCGCTTTCAACAACACGAACCTGGAGAGTCTTGACCTGAGCTTCAATTTATTGAGTGGTGAGCCGAGGATGCGTTTGCCCCTCGCTAAGCTTAAAGGACTTGATTTGAGCCACAACGAGCTTGCCGGGGACATCTTAAGATTTATCGAGCCTTTCTGCAGTACGAGCCCTCCCGGAATGTCATTGCAGCAGCTGCGACTAAACCACAACAAGCTCAGCGGTGAGCTGCCTCCATGCTTGATGCAGTTAAAGAATTTGCAGCTCCTGGCTCTTAACAACAATTGCTTCTCCGGAGCAATTCCAGAAGTCCAGGCGCCCGAGCTGGTGGTGTTGGTTCTCCACAAGAATGCGTTTACAGGGAAGTTGCCAAACGGGCTGGAAACTCTGGGGCGCTTGGGAGTCTTGACGGTGCACGAGAATATGCTTGCAGGCGCGATTCCACAATTGAGCCTCACCACCCCATGCATTGACAATCCGCGGTTCAATGTCCAAGGATGGAGTTGCAGCCTTCTAAGCAGCAATTGGGCTACATGCCACGAATCATATCTCAAATCGTTTCTCCGCATCCTCGTCGGCCCCCCATGGTTTTCAGCAAGTGGTGAGGAATTGCCCTAGATGGTGCAAGGCTTGCCCAAACGGAACGGCAAACATGACGCTTCACAGGAACCGCCTGTCAGGCAACATCCCAACTAGCGTAACTAGCATCGACAGGACTGAGGTCTTAGGCCTTTGCATCATGGGAAACATGCTCGGGAACGGGCGAGAAGTCAACTCATCATGGATACTGACTGAAGAGAAGCAGCCCTTCCTTTACTATTCGCCGAAGGTGTGGAGCTCTCACATTCAACTGTTGAGTGGCATGGACTCGCACGACATGTTTTCTTGGTTCCACCAATTGGCCCATCGAAAAGCCTGTTGGGCTTGATGTCACGACATGTCAAAACGAAATGCGTGTTGTTTCGCCCCGCGCCCTAATCCGCAACGCTTAGGTGGTATGTGCGTCTTGCTCTTTGGCATGGCGGTTTTCAGCTGTCCACTTGGCCGAAAGTACCTCCAGACACATCGCAGCTTGTGCATAGGGCAGGCAGTTTGGGTGGTGGCCTCCAATGTGGCAGTGTGACCTGGATTTTGCCAAGAAAAGAAGTTAGATGATGTTAGATGCTATTGCCCTTCTGCCGCCCCAACACTTTTGGGTAGAGTTGTGGTCCATGATAGACGAGTTCTTTTCGATGGGCACGAGGCACCCAAGGGATGGAGTTGTTGGAATACACGAGAACTCTTACCCCTCCAAGCCGGGAGATTCTTTCACTTCATGCTGGGAAAACGAACCCACATGGAGCCTGAAAACCACGTCGGGTTGTACAGGAACATAGTTTTCCCAAGGTCCATGTTAATCTTCCCAGGTGTAGTTATTGTCAAGTTGTTCCATGCAATGGATCAGTTCTTTTGACTGGTGCCCCACGGAAAACCAGACACCCACTTCTTCGTTTTGGTCTCCAAATCCCAGGTTGAAAGCTGCGGGGAGTGCTTTTGTACTGGCGTGCCCGCTCTTACTTTTCTTCTGGCGAAACGCTCGCTACTATGCCGCTGCGCCACCCTTGTGGAACATAACTGCTGCCAATTTTGAAGCAGACCAAGGGGTGGACTCTGTTATAGTCGCCTGTTGGTGCGTGATGGCATTCTTTTTTCGCTCTGTGGTTGCAAGCATGCCCAAGCGTCCATCTTCGCACGCCACTGCTTTGGCCAAAGCAAGCGCCCAAAAGCGACTTCTAAGAGTTGTGGCTTGGGTATGTTGGTTCGTTATTGTGTTCATTTTTTTCATTGCCGTCCATTCTCTTTGCTTTCTCCCAATCTTTGCCTGCACACAACTTACTTCCGGTGAGTGATCTTGTCTTGCAATGGTTCAACAGTCTTGCTCCTTATCTCAATGTGCTCATTGACATGGTCTTCTCGGCCCCGGTCTCGGCCAAGTATGCAGCCGCCACAGGCATCAAAGCAGATCGTCTACTGATGACTTTTCGTCTCTTTTCCGCTTGGTTTGTGGCGCTGCTTACAACATTTGCATTGGATGAGAACTGCTTATCAGGCTGGAAATGGACTTGGACTGTGTGCCAGCCAGGATCTGCCAACCACCAGAACTTTAACTGGGAAGTCTTTGGCGAAGAAATTTTGAACACTGACAAGGACATTTGTGGGTCCAGTGATAGCTGGTGGTCAGACGGTCGTTGTAGCCGGGCCATTGTAGGGAACTTGACGCCCTTCCTTCTCAAAAAGCTCATGGTTCGAGCAACCGTCCAACCCTTGATGCAATTGCTTCTGTGGCACTTTTCAACGCTGGATGAAGAAAGAGGCAGCTGTCAGGGAAGACATTTGAAGCTCTTTGGTCAGAGGATGACTGGGTCCCTGGAACCTTTACAGCAACTGTCGCTGCTGACTACACAAGTGGAAGCTTTCTGACAAAGGGGGCAGCGGCATTTTGTCACTTCAGAATAGGAGGGCCAGAAGGGTTATTTAGGATTGATTCATGCATACCCATTCAGCTTTAGACATGCACAGCATAGATCCAGCAGATTGTTGAAATGTCATGACATGTCCTTCTTTATATTTTAAATAACCACAGGCCCCAGGTAATGCATAGGGAAAGTGATTTGGATTTGCCGAAAGGAACTTAGCCAAGGAACTTCTCATTTTCTGGACTCCATTTGTTCCTCTACTGAGCTTCGCAATATTTGCGGTGGCTTTGGCAAATCTCTTCATATTCGATGCTGGGTTGTGGAACTTCCGAGTGGCTCTGCCAACGGATGACATGAACAGCAGGGCTGCCATATCAACGTCGTATTTACGATTTGCTCTTTGGTCCGGCTCCTCCTTTCAATTATGGTACGCCTTCGGCACCAAGTTGTTTGGTCGATTTGCGTTGCTGGCAGTTCACATCGCTTTCATCGGACCATGGGCAAAGCACTTTCTGCCTTTGGACCTGGCCAGACGTCACTTCTGGACAGAGCATCAAACTGCCAGCGATGTGGTGATCGAGATGACCATTCAGAATGACCAGGAACTAAATAATTCATGATTTCATGATGCCAATTTCAGGAGAAATACCGTGGCGGCATTCTGTCGTTCAAACTGCAAATTCTCCACCGAGTGGAGGTTTCAGCCTTTCAGGAAGTACACCTTCACCCAGCTCGCTGCCAGGAACCCCACTGTCTGAGAGATCTCTCTATCGGTGGGGCCTGGGGTCCCCCCACCAGCGTCACGACCCTTTCCCCTCATCCTGATGGGCTGCGAGGTTTTTGGCCTCACCCGCACCTCGAGCCCGTCCTGTCTTCACTTACAGTTATTGATTTAACTGTTTATCATCAAGACCTCCAAGAGATTCCTCCAGATCTCGTCGAACATCGGCGCCCCTTCGAAATGGCTATAGAACCCAACCAACCAACCAACCCAACCCAACCCAACCCACCCACTCCGCTCAACCCGTCCAATCCGCCTCCGTCCAACCCGCTCCGAGGTTCGGCTTCTTCGGCCTGCCCGACTGGCCCGGCCTCGCCGCCGCGCTCGCGCAGCGACCGGTGGACCGGGCCGACGCGCGGTGGAACAACCGTGGGGTGAAGGGAGTGGTGTGTCACTGTGGGAGTGATGTGTCACTGGTTCGATTCTGGTTGATAAGGGGGGGAGGAAATGGGAGCGAGTTGCCGAAATCAGTTTTGGTGCTTCTTTGATTTTTTTGGGATTTCGTCACGACCGAACAAGGAAGATGATAACCACATGAGACCAGGAAGATGACAAGTTGTGATTGTTTATTACGTAACATATTTTAATAGTACAGCAGTGCGTTAACGTTTTATTTTGCCCAGAGATTTGGTGGGTGCATGTTTAGCCACCAGCCAGGTTCAAGAAGAGTTCCCCCATCCTTAGTGAACAGCTTCGTGAATGTCCATGGGTTTCACCAAAATCCAGCCATGCATGTTCAAGCAAGGCAAACCATGCCCATGCAGTGCCATGCCAAAGGATGTGGACATGTGGGGCCGCGCCAATACCTTGTGGCAAGGAGGCCAGTTCCTTGGCGAAAACGACCAGCTCGAGCCTGTCGAAAGGACGAACCGGAGACCGGGGGTGGACCGGACCACGTAGCAAGCAAAGCGGAAACCTGGAGCAAACCACCGAAGACCAGCCCATAATAGGGCCTTAATTGAGGGGCGTGAGATCCACTGTGGTTCTCCTCCTCTTCTTCTTCTTCGTGCCCCATGTCTCCTCGTGGACGAAGCATGACGCCGGTGGTTGGTGCGTCACTGAAGCGCCGCTTCTTTGCCCTTGAGGCGTTGGGGAGTGCGTTGCGTCATGTCCTGAAGGGTTCCAGTCCGCCGATCGCTTCCAAGAGCCAACGAACGGCGTACACAGGACGGCGTTTTTCTTTCGGTGTTCCATGTCAAGAGCTCTAGGGCGTCGGAATCTGTGGGGAAACCAGAAGAAAGAGCCTGCGCTGCAGCTCGCCCCAACCAAGTCCTCAAGGATCCTTCCACTGTGAAATGCGCCTCAAGGTGAATATGACTCGCATAAAGATCATGAATGAACCCCGTGGGTCTTGAACTTTTGGACGTAAAGGTGCAGTCAGACGGTCAAAACTATAACAGATAGGCAGATAGGGCTCTCCCAGATCTCTCCCATTCCTGTGCTTTTTTGTGATGAGGTTCGCCCGAGATGAGTTGGAATCCTTCTGGAAGGATGGCCGTGATCGACAGTTCAACTTCGACAGCTTCCGTGGAACGCATCCGCCGCACATTCACATCATCGCTGGGTGGAATGATATGTTTCTGCAGCAGGGTTTGGATGATTTCGTGTCTGACTCTTGGCAGGACATCCAAACTATGATTTTTCTGAGGTTTTGCCTGTGCTGCCTTGATTTGGACAGATTCGGATCCTGGGTCAATGAAAGGATCAAGACATATCAAGACGAATGTTGGATTGGCAAGCTCTATGGTTGCATGCACTCATTCCCCAGCAACAACAAAACAAATACATCAATGCGGGAAACAAGAAAATGTGTGAACATGTCCCACATGGTATTAAGCAGGTTCAAACATGCGGATGTGCTCAACCTACCCTCCACAGCAACAAGATCAAACTTAATTGGCTAGGAAGATTTACACACAAAAACAAAAATGTGCTTTCGAAGATCCAGGTGACACTGCAACTAGACTGAAGCTTTTCTGAGGTCGTCCATTTGCAACGTGAAAACCGTGCGACCGTAATCCGTTTCGGGACTCAGATGGGACGACGACTGCCAGCCACTCAGCCCTCGGTAATTTTTCCCCGATCCCTGCACACCATTCGAAGCTTTTTCCTCCAAGTGGTGAACCCTACAGTGCCCTACAGGTCAGTTTGACCTTTTTGGAGATTGGTCATGCAAAACCACTAGCTCGTTTGGATGGCAAAGCAACCAACCAGCCCTTGGACCTGGGTCAGACCTGGACGCACGTAGGGTTTGATGGACCACCGCCGACCATCGAAATGCGCCCCAGGCGTGCCGACTGACCGAAGCGCGGCTGACCATCTACACGGGCGGTCACTTTGGCCTCATCACGAAGCATGCAGGGGAGGCGCGCACCCCCGCGGGATCGGAAAAGTGCTCCAGGTTGGGGGGGGAGGGAGCAGATGTTGTGGGACTGGGACTTGGGGTAGGGGGGAATGGCTTGTGAGATGGGTGAGGCGCCATCGCATGCATCGGCTGCTGAACAAATCTGAATCTGAACCAACAACCACTGGACCTTAGGATTCCAACGACCCGGTGGGTCCCTTGATTGCGAATCGGAAGCCACGAGGCCTCGGCCTCACCGGGCGATGCATCGGGTCCTCGCGTGGGTCCCGTCGTCAGGTGGCGGCGGAGACGGGCCGCTGCTACCGCGAGCACCTCGGTGGCGACATGCTGGATCACCGGAGCCCCGTGCGGATGCAGCTGATCACCACGACCGACGAGACGACGCTCGGCGTGCTGCGATGGAGAGCGCATGCTGCGATGGCGGTGCAGGGTGCCAAAGCGCATGGCTTTTTGGCTCTTTTTTGGGCTCCCCGAGAAGGAGATGGCCAAGCAAAGATGGAGACATAGACATAGAGCATCATAGAGCCACGTGACCGAGGAAGGTTTTGCCAAGATGGATTGCTGTGTGTCTTGGGGCTTTTTGTGAATCCTCTTTGTCAAGAACGGGCCTTGCAAGAAGTTGTTGATAGCACCAGTTCCAAAGGAATGGTTTTTAGTCCCCAAGTGAGTGGATGTCCTGGGCATCCTTACCCTCCAAGAGGAAGCCCCTTTGGAACTGCTGGTAGTTGGTGTTCGTTGATGGTTGAGAGAGTGCTTGCCGTCAAGTCGCAATGCCTGCGAGGCCTGCGGTTAGGCTTCGAAAAAGCATGCGGTTGACACACCTCGATATCCCGGATGCGGGTCAGATTACTGCAATCCGTCACAACATGCATGTGAACCTGAATCAGCATCAAACATATAAAGACCCGTGTGATCCCGAGTCATTCCTTTAGGTGTTCACGTTCGAGAATAGACCACATGTTTTCAGCATGTTCAACAGATTGATCAAAATCCATGCCGAACTCTAGGGCTCACGAAGTTTACTATCCGCACTGGTGCCTTTGGTTGACAATGTTGACAGGAATTTCGACTGACAAAGCCTGGATCCTTGCCATGTCGTGCCTGAAGTAAACACATGAAACAACAAAAACAATGGGAAACACCAATCGCCGATCGCCATTTTTTTTCCGATACGGCATGGTATGCCTCTAACTTATAGAACAGGTCTATTGCCAAGCATCATGGGGCACCGGAGCGGGGGCACAGGACTCGACGACGCCCAACGAGCTCGTGCTCCGGTTCCTGAGGGAGTGGTTGGAATGTGAGACGTGGCCGCCGCCCTGTGACTCCTATCTGGACTATTTCCTGCTTGGAGAAGGCGCCACCGGCAGATTGGCAGAAGAGGCCGGAAGCTGTCGCCTGAGCTACACCTACGATCCCAAGGACCAGAGGGAGGGAGGGAGGTCACGTGCCTCGTGCTTCGAGGGTGTCCGAGGCAAGCTCGTTCAGCATGAGAAGAACGAGCTTTCGTACCAGAAGTGTCCAAGCTCACTTCAGCTTCTCCATGTAATTTCTTCCCTTATGGAGCTTCTGACCAGAGAAGTTTATAGCTTGGATCATTCAGAAGGAGTGTCTACAATGGGTAGGATGAAGATGTCCCGTCGAAGTGAGTGGTGTTGGTGTTCTGTTAAATTTGAAGTGGCGTCCAGCTGAACTCGGTTTTGACATGTGCCGACCGATGCATCAAAGAGGGCATGTATGTGAACAAATCTTGCATGTATATACCCCAGACACTCCATGTATGCCATATATGTCTACAATTGTCTACATTGGGGTGGTTTTGGGGTCAATGTAGGCATATATGGCACAAGAGAAGGTTTACTAATACTCGCGTTTTTACATTGAGGCTTTGTTGCTCGAGCGCCTACAAGTACGGTGACCAGTGAGCCGGCCACTCGTGTTTGTTCCCATGGTGCCGCTGTGACTAGAGCCAGGATCCGACTCCCTATGCTGGTGATGGCTGGCTGAACCTGCAAAAGGATGGCGCCCAAGACCAGCGAGGCGTCTATCATCCTCTATCCGCGCATCAAGTCGAAGCAGGAATACGAGGATTTTTTGCACCAGGGAGATTTATATAGTTCGTGCTGGTGTTGTCACCCGCATTCTTCAAACACAGGAAGTCACCGTGCTCATGCGGACTACGTGCTTCGTCCATCTTCGTCCATCATTGTGAGAAGTATCCAATCAAATCTGCCCGCCTGCTAGCTAGTTGTGTATCATCACCGGACGGATCAAAACAAACACAAAAGCTGGACTTTGGCGTCATCCTGGAAGCACAGCGGGTCTCAAAAGCACAACAGCCAGTTCTTGGATTGCCCATGGTTGACGCACAATTCTTTTTTGCTTCAAAATTGTTTGCAACTCCGTCAAAGCTGAAGGTAGATGTAGGACATGAAACTGAAACTGATTTGGAAGAGACTATACTTTTTCCATGTTCTTCAGGCTTTATAGACCTCCATAAGGGTCCCACATCGGTGACCTCTCTTCCAGAAGTGTTTGACCAAAAATCGATCTATAAGACAGTTTTCCACCGCACCGGCCACGCCAGCCGCAAGGCTTGGAGAGCTCGAGGACCAAAGACCTGCTGTTGGCGAGCTCGCAGGCGTTGGAGAAAGATGTGGACCTGGCGGGCGAAGTGCAGGTCTCCCTGCGCCCAGGTTTGCACAGAGGGACGGTTTGAGCGAGCGCGCGAGCGCGGGAGCGCGAGCGCGAGCTCGAGCTCCTGAAGCGAGCAGATAGGGGATTTCGTTCTGCCCGGAGGGGCCTAGCTAGACAGGGATTGCTTTCTGGTGCCTCGGTTGAAGTCGTATCAACTGGAGGAAAGTCGTAAGGAAAAAAGGTGTGCCCGATGCTGAAGATGCTTCTTCCTGTTCTATTTGTTCTATGAACTGATGTTCATGTGCTGTTCGGCGTACGGTGATGTGACCTATATAAACCCTGCGCTTGTAGAAGACGTCCACCAGGAGCTGGAGGTCTCCAGCTTACTCGGTAGCTACAGGGAATACCCGGAGCAACCGTACCAGTGGTTTCAGAGTATATGGCGCAATCCCCAGCTTTTTTTAAACACTATCGACCTCGATATAAACGTTTCACGTCTTTGGGTTTGAGCCTGTGCCATCTATTCTGAAGCCACTGTACAAACCGCGGAGAGCTGTGTCACTTCCCATCAATTCGCTCCCCTCCGTCGACGAAGCCCGGGAGCCCCACGCATTCGACCCGAGGTCGCTGCGCTGTAGCGCGCCGCAGTGCGACGTCGTGGCACGGCTCTGCGTGGTACGCGGCGCGGGCGGCGCAGGAGGCGCGGAAGGCGTGCTGGGGTGGCTGGGAGACTTGGCGGATCCCAGGCAGCTTGGTGCCGGGCAGTCCGTGCCTTGCTTGCGCCAAGGATAAACACCACAGCAAGTCTCAGCTGGCCCAAGTCTCGGACACGTAGGCCAATGCGGTGCAGAAAAACGCTGAATGAAACAGAATAGCAGCCTCCGAACAGGCTCGCCTGTTCGGGAGCCCGAACGTTCGGGTTCACCGTCCTAAGGTGAATCTGTGCGAGAATATCGTGAGAGCCGAGTTTCAGAAGGACCGCGTGCCGAACGTGCTGGCACCGAACGTGCTGGCACCGAGTGAAGAACATGCTGAACAGTGGCGATGCGTCGCTCCAAAAACATCCATGACCCAGAATAGATCTCCGTAAAAAGGGCCTACCCCTACCAGTTCCAAAGTGATTGGATAATGGGTACACTTACTCGTACTTACTCTAATAGGCACCCCTCTAGCCGAGTCTAGCCGCTTCTCGTTGTCGCACACTTTGTTCCATGGTTTCCCACCAAGAAGATGATCAGACAAGGATTCCGCTTATTCCGCTTTTGTTGTCTGGAAGACTGTGACTTGCTGGCAGCACCTCCAATTGTTGAATCCTTGGACTCCAATGATCTTAGCCCAGATTCCGCCCCAAATCCTCTGAATCACCAAACTAAACATCCAAAACACCCTCGAACCTGGCGGTCTTCATCCGCCCCGGACCACTCAGACGCCCCTCCGTCTCGCCCAGGCCCTCCCTCCCTCCCTCCAGGATGAAGCCACACGCCTGGACTTCCGCGTGGGTTTCACTGCCTGCCGCCTGAACGCCGGCGACCGCGTGCGGCTGCACCTCTGCTCGGCGGCGCACCCGCGGTGGCTACGCCACCCGCTGCAGCCCAAAGGGGAAGACTGGCTCTTGGGCGACAGCCAGGTGGGGAGACCGAGAGATGCCAGGGCCCCCCGGTTTGGGGTGGTGAATGGAGACCCCGAATCACCTCGGCTATAATTCGACATCCCAAAACCGGGGGCCCTGGTAGTTGGTGGAGGAATTCCAGCCTTTCAGCACTTTGAACCTTAGAAGCTTTCATGTTTCATCCGGACAAGGTTTGTGCACAGGATAGCGGTATGTCACAGGTATCAGTATGTCGTCTATATAAGCAGGTACTGGGTGTCGTCTGTAAGAGGACGGGGGTGTCACGATGTGCCAATGTTCCTTCCAACCAGTGGATTGGCGCCGCTGGCATGCCATGGGCCCTTTTTTTTCCGGTTCGTCGCCCGGTTCCAGACGAATGCAGGGCATCTCACCTCATATCACCTCTTAGCCTTTCACATGGCCCAACCCAAAAACATATAGAACGAAATGGCTGTGAGTGCTGTGAGTCCAAACCGCCCCACCAAACCATGGGAGGCTGCCAACCCTTCTGAAGGGATCCGTTCATTTTGAGGAGTCAACCATGGTTCCCAGGTTTTGACCCACAGCCAATTTGTTGCACCGTTCCACCAAACCTATCCTGCCAATCGGTGAATGGTCGCTTTTGTTCCGTGGACATGGGCGGAACGCCCTTCATGTCTCCACTCGTTCCGCCACGCGGGGGGGCTTCTTCTTCTCTCTGCCACGGCCAGGTGGGACCTCCCGCGGTGATCTCTGTGGAAACGCCCTCGCGACTGCGGCTGCCACTGCGCTCAGCAGAGCTTCGCTCGGTGTTTCTGACGTCGCCGTGAGGGACCTTGCGTGCCGTTGAACGGGCGTTGCGTTACGGCATGTTAAGGCTTGATCTCCATAGCTTCTCAGAAAGGGAGCGCGGTTTAAAGGGGAAGTGGGAAGTGCGCCCTGAATTCTCAGAGCACATTTGTTTGCTCAAAGTCGTAGTAGTGTTTGCTTAGAACATCTTAGAACAATATAGAACAATTAGAACCATGGCCGCCCGAAGAAGATGACGAAGGAGTTCAGGATCATTTTGGGTGTACCGACTTCAGTGCAGATCCCACCAGTGCAGGGCGCACGCGCGCGCGAGACTGGCACTTCAGAGGTTCCCAGCAGCCTCAAAGGACGAATGACACCGGATGGGCGTCACTCGAGCCGAGTCGGCTGAACCGCTGCACTCGCTTCGCTCGTGATCTTCACCTCGTTGACCTCTCGGCCACCTATGTTTCAGTGAGAGAGTGTGCTTGGAGAGGTGCTATGATGGGGCCACCTATGCGAAGCCTGCCCGGGAGCCTCAGGAAGTCCCACGGATCGAGGCGACGCGCGGACGGCCAGGAACACGGCCAGGAACACGGGGCGGTGCGGGGCTGTGTGGGAAAAGATGCTGGGAAAGACGTTCGATAACCCGGATTATCCGTAAGGATTCCAATTTGTCGCAGAGGAGAATCTGAGACTCCTTCTGGGCGAAAGATGTCCTGCACTTGTCCTCCCCCTCCCAGGCAGAAGAGGGAGGTGCTTGCTTCGTTGGCTCAGCGCGGGACCTACAACAGCAAGACTGTGCCACACATGTTTCGAGAGAGTACGGGCCAAAGCGGGGGTAGAACCAGCTGAAACTAAAAGCAGGGACCTGAAACCTAGATCAGATTTCGGATGTAGCTTCACAAGTTAGAGTGTCCCTGCACGACAGCTAGGCAGCTAGACTCTGCAGAGAGAGGGGGAGAGATTCTGGATGACACTGGGCGATAATTGTTCATTGGCATTGTTGTTTGTACAGTCCTCCACGGAGCTTTCAGATCAAGGCACGGAGCACTCATGGAAGAATTTATTGAGGTTGGGTTTTTGCATCCTTTAAGTGTGGACATGAAGTACACTATGTTTGGTAGCCAGTACTTTGGTGAAGGGATAATTGGTGAAAGTTTGGGCGGCTTTAAACATGCACCGGGCCGGGGCAACTTCTTTGGATTTAGCTTTGCATTCTGCTCTAGGGCCACGGAAGTGTGCTCAATTGACTCACTTTCCATGAGCTCACAGAACGACCCCACAAATCTTCATACATATTCATACTACTGCGGTACTTTCCTTCCGGGGCCTTTGCTTGCGGGCGCTGTTCCCACATGCCACACCTCGGCCTCTCATGCAGCTCTCATGGCAATGGCATTGTACGTAAGAAGTGGCGGGTCGTAGTGATCGCTTGGCTGCTGACTTCTCACCTTGCAGTGCTGCAGGTGACACCTTGCTTAGAGGCATTAAGTGCGAAGGTTTCACGTACCAGACAAGGCTGGCAAGTGAGTTCGCATGGCAGGGTTCGCAATACTCGGGGAGAGGTCAGCTATGGACATTTTGCAGCCAGTGGCTACTACGTGTCTTATATTGGTGGCAAGATATTCCAAGTCCACCGCCTGATCGCACGAGCATTCTGTGGGCCTCCAGCAAGGGGCGAACTGTGGCAGGTGGATCACATAGATGGGAACCGAAGCAATAACCACAGGGACAACTTGAAATGGACAACACCTGCTCAAAATGTGCAAAGCTACCATGCCAATCCCTCAAGGGGAACTGCTGGGCTGTGGCATTCAAAGCCAGTCATGGTGAGACCTGTGGGGTCCCAGAACTGGACCAGCTTTCGTTCAGCCCGTGAAGCATCAGAACAGCTAGCCATGCCTTGCACGACGCTGCGGCATCGCTGTCGTAACAATGCTCGGGTTAAGGGCATGGAGTTCAAGTATGCTGAGCCTGAAAACCAGAAGCTGGCAGGAGAGGAGTGGAAACCGATGCTCGACCCTAGGTCAGGGGAACCTGTACCAGGTAGGATGGTGAGCTCTTTGGGCCGCATAACGTCGAAACATGGACGGATGTATAAAGGTAGCCGAAGAGAGGACGGCTATTATCGCACGTTGATTTGGGGAGGTCTTCAGCGGAGAGTGGTGTATGTGCATCAATTGGTTGCATACGTATTCCTCGGGCCACCGCCACCAAGTCCTGAGCGCACAGAGATCAACCACAAGGACCTTGACAGGGGTAACAATGCTGCGAAGAACCTCGAGTATGTTACCCCAGCTGAGAACATTGCCCACAGCGTAGCAAACATGAAAGGCCCCCACCCATTGTCATTGCCAATTCTTAGCCGCGTCTATGGCAGCAGCGATGAGTGGCGGTTCCACGAGTCTGTCACATCTGCGGCCCAATGCTTGGGATTGTTCCAGTGTTCGGTTAGCAATTGCCTTCATGGTCGTCAGAGTCAGACCGGCGGCTACGAGTTTTGTGTGGCAACGCCCGACGAAGCACCAGTTGAAACGCTGCTCGGTGAAGAGTGGCGGGATGTGGATGTGGACTGGCACCTTCGCGAGCGGGCGCTCCGCAGCGGCCATGGCGTGTCGTGATGGGAGCAATCATGAACATCCGAGTCAATTTAAGGACGGCTTGCGACCGCAACATGTCTCAGGTGCTTGCCGTACTTTACCTGCTTTCATGTGTACATTCAAAATTAAAGATGCCAATTCGTGATGCCAATTCGTGCTGAGAAGTTCAAAGTACACATTGCAGCTCAGGTTGCCGTGAATTATATTTGCTTGCCATTGGTTTGCCAAAATGTATGGCATGTCTTGAGAGGGGCAAACTCGGTCATCATTGCACCTGATGCTTTTGGGCAAATGAACCACTTTGAAGTCCAAAATCACTTGCAGACTAGGAGGTGACCATGCTGGATGACCGGGTTTTTGCACCATGACTTGTGATGCTTCACGGCCTAGTCTTAACCATAAACCATGCCAACTAGAGATTGGAGGTCGTTACTTGCATGACTCTTTCAGCACCTTATGAGAAATCAAAGTCTTTGGGTTCCGGGGGGCATATGGTCGCAAGGCTGAAACTTAAAAGAATTGACGGAAGGGCACCACCAGGAGTGGAGCCTGCGGCTTAATTTGACTCAACAAGGGGAAACTTACTAGGTGCAGACATAGTAAGGATTGAATCACAGGCCTGGCCAGAGGCTCTTGGAGTTGGAGAGTTGTGGGTAATAACTATATCTGACTATATGTACTATTGCGAAAATGGTAGCAGCGGCACCCGAAGTCCGCGAGCAAGAAAAACACGATGGCGCACTGAAGCGCCGCGGCCGCGCCCTTTTCCAAGGCAACTGCCCTCCCAGTCTTGAGAGGGAACATCGGTAAGTGAAGGTCGAAAACAGTTCGAACTGCCGAGACTCAAGTGCACAGCGTGAACTTTACACGAGGGAGAGTTCTTCGAACCGGTCCAACCATTGAAAGACCAAGGTTCGAACAGAAGAACCCATGTCCTCATCCACCAGGTCAGGTGGAAGCACCTTCAAACTACAAAGGCGGCAGTAGTCCACTCGCCGCTGCAGGCTTTCGTCTCTTCCGGCCAGGCTCGAGCAGTTCAAGCTCGTGTGCCATCTGGCGCCGTGCCGGCTGATGATCATGCCATTGTAGAAAGGGCATTCATTTCCATGTTCATCCATCTGCCTCAGGGCGATCTTCAGGATCTGAGAGGCTTCGTGTGCAAGGGTCTCAGCAGCATTCTGGTTTCTCAGAACCAGATCCATCGCTGTCGTCGCTTCGACAGCTGCAAGGCGGGACTCCTCTGCTTTGGAACTCCAGCGCAGGACTTCCTGCTTCAGGCGCTTGACCTCTTCTCTGAGGCGAGCTGGGATGATCGCTTCATCCTTTTGGACTGCGGCCTCAGCAACCTGGGGTTGAACTCTGTGAGATGCACCATGGCTCCAGCGGCCACAAATGAAGGCCGTGCTCACAAAAAGTAGGAAGAAGGTGCACACAAATGTTCCAAACCAATCCATTTCAGCTTCGGCTTCCGCAATGGCCGATTCGGCCTTGACCATCAATGGGGCCATGAACAAAAGCAAAAACCAAAACATGAAATTCGTCTTGCGACCGTGGTAGAGCTCGAGCGACCGGCTTCCGACATGGCTCGGACTGTGGGTGACATACTCAAGCTTCTGGTCGGTCCGTGCAAACATGACATTCTCAGGAACGATGGAATTCCGAAAAATCTCTTCATTCCAAAACACTTGCTCATCGACATTCACGTCATTTTCCACAAGATTCTCGTCGATGGGCTGCATGTGTTCCTCATTGACCATGGGTGGTGGTGGCACATGTATGCTTTCGGCAAGACTCTGTTGGAGCTCAGCTTTCGTTTTCTTCTTGGCAGCTTTGTAAGAGGGGTCCCAAACAAGCTTTAAACGACCGTGACGTAGCCGTTGTGCAAGAAGTGCTCTGGCCGACTCTTTTGTCAATCCGTCAGCCAGTTGGCGCTCCGATGACATCCACCTCAAAGAACCACCAAGAGAGGTGAGGCGATCCTTCATCACACGGATTTCAAGCGAAACACGCTTGTCAACCACAGAGCTTCCGACTCCTTCTCGATGATAGGAGTCGTAAAGGGCCTTGGCATCCGTGATCATGGTGGGCGACAACAAGGATGGAGCGTCCAAAAGCTCTTTGAGTCGCTGGCGAGGGTCAACCAACAAGCTCCAGTAGATGCTGGCATGCTCCAATGCATCGCAAGCTTGACCACCGCTTTGTGCTTCAGCGCCCAAGGAGGACCGTGCAACTCTTGGCGTCTTCAAACTGCGCCAATCCAAAACATGGTAGGCTCCTTCGGGTCCATTGGCCTGAAGCAATGCCTTGTTGACCATCAAGACCACATAGCCAGCTTGTGAGGCTCCATCGCTGCGGGTAGCAAAGGCAGCATCAAAAAAACATACCAAACAAAGTTCTGAAACTTCACCCAGGTGGCTGTACTGTAAACCAACGTCAGC